GCTGAGTCATTTTTATTGAATCTTATACTTCTTATATGTTCATTATAGCGTGTTATCAATTTTCTGCCTGTTTGACTTATATACACCTGTTGGCACTCCTGGCATGTCAATTTGTATATGCCGCTTTGTTCGTAAGAATTTATGCTTTGTTTTTGGTTTAGTATTTTACCTAATGTATGATTTACTTTAAAAGCTATCCTTACGTTCGTGTTTTTGAATAGTTTCGTAATTTTTCTTGTGTAGTTTCCGTTATATGTGTAGGAAACCCATTTCTGTTCTCTTCTTTCAATGGGGCCCTTTGTTTTTTGTTGTTGACGTTTATGATACATACGTGTGATGAGTTCTTTATTGTAACCATTGTTTTCCGCAATATTAATAATTATGTTTAATTCTTTATTTTTTGCTGCGTTATCCATGGATATGGATAGCAGATCACGCAGCTTACATACTGTGTACAATACAACGCCAGTGGTTTCATGTGTTTGTAACGTGCCTCTGATGATGGTTCTTTTGAACCGAAACATGTAAGGCGAGTGAAATAAATAAGTGACCTAAGAACGTTGTTACACTCGACGGATTATTCATTGACAATTTGTAATAGTCATCATGTTTGAATGACACATTTAACTCATCTTACTACCTGGCTTTTTGTTTGTTTCCATGCATTCTGTATATGTTCTGAATGAAGTATATTCTGGAAGTCGGGATACAGTGAATTTTGAATGGCATAGCAAAAGGTTAAAAACACAAAAAGATACAATCTAAACATCAATCTGTATGTTCTGAGGGAAGTCTTGTAAGGCAGTTTCAGGATGTGTGTGTATAGTAACTATTAAAAAAAACACTTGAGATATCAACAAAATGAACAAGAAGTTTTCTATGGAAAGGGAACTGGAAGAGTGGTACAGTTGCCTGTGCCTGTCTACTGAAGACAGATACATGTGCAACGAACCTATCACCACAGAGGCATCAAAGAAAAAGTGAAGTAACAAATTTACACATCAGAATACTACTACATTCAATGGGCCCCTTGTAACCATGGATCGAGGAGATGACACTTGAATATGGAGATCAGCTACAAATATATTGAATAAGCAGTTGCAGACAGATGAGAAGGGACACTCCTCTATCTTAGGGGATAGACAGGATGGCTTAAGACCATTTTGTGTCTTTTAGATGTGTCTGCAAGCTGACTTGGACTTGCTTGTGAGAAGAGAAATCATCATCTTTGCCAGGAACTGCAACCTGGCTGCCCAGCTCATAATCATTCACTTTAGTGACCGAATTATCTTGGCTCATATTATAGTTAATATGACGCTGTCACTTAAACTATACCAACAATCTACTGTGTAGTCTTCAACAACTGATCAGTAAAGGCAGAGATGTCTTTCCTACTCTGTGCTAAATCTTACACCTCTGTCTAAACTCCATACAATCTATGGGTACATGACATAGACAAGAAAAGTAATGCAGGCCCAGAACTGAACTCTACATGGCAGTCAGTGATCAGTTTCAAATTCTTTCATTGTTTACTTCAAGAAAAGTGACCTATATAACTATTTTATAGGGCAAACAGTACATTCTTTGGTACAAGTTTCACATAAACCTTTGTTTCCTGAAACAAACAGTGATTACAGTTGCTGACTCTGGATCCAAAGTCAGTGATATTACTCCACCCACAGAACTACAGAACTCATACAACATACAAGTACACTACAAAAGCACTCACAGGAGAGTCGTTGCTCATGATTTGGTGGCCTGCGTCGGAGCCACTGCTCATCCTCCACTTCATCTTCCTCATCATCTGGCATTCTTGATTCTGGTCGCCCCTGATCCTGGCGCTTGAGAAGCGGCAAATCAGGCACAGAGTCGGACAAGTGCTGCAGACCAGCTATATAAGCACAGTAACAGTCATGAGAGATTCTTACTTTCCTCATACTTCATTTTGCATTTGTAGGTTACTTTCTGCTTTGTTACCTCAAACGTGAACATGGAAATTATGTGCAACCAGCTACCTTTTGATGCTCTATGTGTTTTAATTTCTATTTAAATTAATTCATGGTTTGTACAGGAAGATGTACAGAAATCTGTTACCACTAATTCCATTAATTATTTCCCCCTTCCTAAAATATCCGTATTTCTTTCCTCTACACCAGTGAATATATATCAAATTAAAGCCCATAATATTTTGCTGAGAACGAGAGTTCTGAAGTATAATTCACAATAAATATTACATGACAGAAATAAACTACCATGTCATATTACATTGAGAATATGAAAATTAATGTATGTACAATAACATTACAAATGGAAATATTATAACAGTGTTTCAGTATATTAATCGATTTATTGGTTTAACACTTAGGTTTCTTTACAATAATTAGTGTCAGCTGTGAATCTTTGAACATCCAACATCTATAAAATATAGATATCACGAGGAAATAAAATTTCATGGGGGTAAGAATCTATATATATATTCATGACTTTGACACTGGAAGCAGAGTGACTGTCTCAAGGTACACCTTCCCTGGAGGGGAGGTTCAGTGTATTCACTGGCCAATCTGGCCACAGTGGAGAGAGAAAAACCACAAATTCTGAGCATCCAGTCCACAATCTGATGCCATAACTAGCCTGGACAAATGTAAAAGTAAAGCTATCCCTGTAACAGGCTATGACGGCCCATAGGGTTGTGACACGTTGAGGGTCCCACATTATCTAGACAATCGGCTCACAGATGAAGGTAAGGTTGTCACCCTTACACGCCGGCTGTGCTTTACTCCCCAGGAAAATTATTTAATAATTCCTGGTATTCAGTTCTGTTAGAGGCTGAGTCGACCCCAGGGCCATAGTGCAGCTGGAAGGATTAGGTCAACTGAAAAAAAATCCAATGACCTCATTGTGACTTGAACACGAGACCTTCTGTGTCTTCTAAAATCTATCACACAAGGGTTACTTTTGGCATTAATGTGTACTCACCTATCTTGTTTCTTGCAAGAAGCCACTCCTCTAAAGAACTGTTGACTGAATTGATATTATGGGTGTCTCCACGCCAGCTGGGATCATGTGAACTGCGGAGTGCCCGACGTCGCTCTTTACTTGACAACATACATTCCTATGTGCAGAGAAAACGGACATTCCTTTACAGCGCTTTCTTCACATATGTACAATTTAAAGTTCATGTTCAGAGTTGAGCCAGTTATGGTCATGAATATTAAAATTAGTTTCTTCTGAGGTACATCACCATGTAGTCTGCCAGAGAACTACAAACATTTTGTACTCTACTGCCTTTCTCCAAAGGCAGTAGATTTATCTGAAATGGTGGTATCTAGCTATCAAAATGCATGATGTCACATCCCAGACAACCATAATCTTAAAGTCTTGGCTATTAGGCATTCTTGACATGTGTCAGAGGTGTGCTATATCTGTCTGTTCTTTTGCATCCTTCAGCTCCTAAAACCTTATTAGATTCTGATGAAATTTGATAAGCCCCAGTAACAAATTATGAAGGTCCAAATAAACCTCAGGATTTTCTCATTAAATACTGAAGAAAATCCAAAATGTTCCTGCCAAAATTACATGTATGAATTATTTAAAAAATTCCATAGAACAGAGTCCGTGAGAAGCTATGGATCTCTTCAAGTAGTCAAGACATTTCTCACCATTTAGGGAACCCATGGATTAATTACTGTGTTCACAAAAGCCTGCCTCTGGTCTCTATCCTGAGTCAAATGAATCCAGCCTACGTCCTAATACCATAACATCTACTTTACTAGTATTCTTCCATCTAGTTTTAGGTCTTTTAAGTGGTCTCTTTTCTTCATGTTCTCTGACCAAAATTTTGTATGCATTTCTCATCTCTCCCATATGTGCTACATTCCTCACCACTATATGGTCCTTTATTTGCTCATCTGGCGGACAGTACACATTATGAAGCTTCTCATTAAACAATTTTCTCCAGCGTATGGTTACTTATCCCTCAGAGATCCAAATATTCTCCTTGTCACTCTGTTCTCAGACAAACTCAATCTATGTTCTTTCATACCAATACAAAACAGCAGTTAATATTTTAGTCTGTATATTTCTTTTTATGTTCTTTTGAGAGCACATAAGAAGACTAAAGATTCTAACTAGAACAGTGGCAAGCATTTCTTCATTTTAATCTTCTCTTAATTTCTTAATGAATGAAATTTTGACTTGTTATTTGTCATTTCCAAATATTTGAACTCTGACACATTTTTGAAGGATTTACTAGCTATCTTTATATTTGATTTCGCCCCATAATATTTTTAATCTATTAAGCATTTAAAATTGATCCATTAATTGGTAAATGGATTGGTTACTAAAAGTATATTCACACAAATGTCTGATAAGGCCGCGCCATAGATCAAGCGGTTAGTTGCTGGCTTCCCACTGCTGAGGCCCGGGATCAATCCTGGGTCTGGTCAAGTGGGATTTGTGATGGACAAAGTGGCGGGTTTTCCCCAAGTACTTCGGTTTCCCCTGCCAATTTTCATTCCACCAAATTCTCCATGATCATAATCACCCGGGGCAGGTACAATAGGCCAATCAGTGGCCGCCGTGCTGAGTGGAACCCCACTAGCGAATTAAAAATAATTAATTAAAAAATGTCTGATAACTTACTACTGTATGAATAATAAGTATGTAATAAACACTTTGAAATTAATAAATATGCCTAGACATTAAAATTAAGAATATTACACACAATGCACACAAATAAGCATGAGCCCTAAAAATAAAAATTTAAAAAATAAAAAACTGTTGAAATTCAAGGCATTATTTACATATATATTTTAGGCACAAGGCTAAAAAAGCATGAAATTTATTTTCTGGCTATAATTTCATCACTCCCTTATACCTCAAGAAGTCAGAAAGCATCATGCATTTGGAAAAAAAAATGTAGGTCTGCTCGAAGACAAACAAAATGGTGGTCATATAAAGTGTGTTACAGAACTGGAATAAATATACAGGATCCAAATTACACTGAAGATATTAAGAAAATGAGTTATGACAATGTGGATTTTACTGAATTTGTTCAGAACACATCAAGAAGTGATAAAAGTTCTGCTGGTACAGTGTCTGATGTCCATACTTAATGACACCAAGTTAGTTGATACTGTAGACTAGTAGAGGAGTAATGCAAATTAAAGGGTATGAATTTGTGTTCATGTTTAAGCCTCACTCTTCTGTCTTATGAATATCAAACTTAACCCCAACACCAACACCAGTAACAATGAAAACATCATAAAACAAAATCAAAATCCATAATGGGAAACACAAAATAGTCAATGTACTATGTACAATTTGAACATGCAACCACTGAATGATCAAACTGTGTCAGTTTACTTCAGTAATTCCAATGTGTACTTACTTCCAACAGCTCAAACCAATCTTCGAGCCCATCAGCAGCCCTTAACAAAACCCTGCCATCCCTTCCTAGGGCAAGAGCTACAGTACTGTAATTCTTCTTGTTGATCCATTCCACCCTCTCCACATCCACCAACTTTACCTGAAAAATTTGAACAGTTATGTGAATCAAATAGGGGGCACGCGGTAGCGTAGTTGGTTGAGGCACTATTCTACAAGCCGGAAGGTCGCAGGTTCTCCCGATGAGGTCATTGAATTTTTTTCAATTGACCTAATCCTTCTAGCCACACTATGGCCCTGGGGTCGACTCAGCCTCTAACAGAAATGAGTACCTGGGGGTAAAGGGCGGCTGGCACGTAAGGTTGACAATCTTAATCTGTGACGTGGAAAGGAAGATCCTCATTAGTTATGGCCACATTGAAAGAATGAGGAAAGAGGGCTTAAAAATTTCTACAGTGTCCACTACCAGGAATATGCATAGCAAGGCCTGCATATGGGTGCAAAACTAACCTTAAACTGATTACATAATAGCAACCCTAACATAATTTTGAAGACACTGACTGCTAAAATGGAAAACTGCAAAAGAACGGCAGATGTCACAAATTATGACAGGATACAACAAATAACAATTACAACAGCAAGAGCATCAGCAACAACAGCAAGCAGCAACAAACGTATTAATTGAAGAATACAACAATTTACTCGTATTTTCCATTTTCTTTTTCTATTTCATTTTTGAGCGAAAACAGGAAACATATAACAAGCTTCTGTCTACACGTTCTTGTTCCTTCTCCCCAAAGGGCACATTTCCACAACTGAGAAATCACTGCCCCACTACATGGTTAAAACCCCACACTTGCTTTTGTCTGTTCTCCATAATCAAGACGAAGAGTTTGAAATAAAAATGCCATTCAACAGCAAAAAACTTATTATGAAATTAACCTGGTACAACAGAGCAATGTTGATATTTGGCATACCACTTTGTAGCTGTTTGTCTTGACTTTTTTTCCTTGGCACTACAGCCCCAGTGGGCCTAGGCCTACCTCCACGAACTTCTCCGTTCACTTCGGTTTTTCTAGATCTTACACATTCGGTAGGACTCCTTGGGCGGGTGATCAGCTCGTCGCAAGGCCTCTACCTGTTCACAAACACAGAAAAACGCACACACAAACTAAACATCCATGCCCTGAGTGGGATTCGAACACACGATCCCGGTTTCCAAGCGAGCGAAGACAGTACATGCCTTAGACCGCTCGGCTACCATGACCGGCGTTCGTCTTGATTATGTTACCATTTTCCCACTCGCTTCAAGCTAACGCAGTGACGGTACAGAGAAGAACGCCAATGAAAGTTCTAACCTACTCAGCTGTCGGCAATTCAGCTTACAAAAGACGCGTATTCTCGGCGAGAGTATTTAGGTTGGTGGCTGACTTTCCCTCATCGACGGGCCTTTCTGCATGCCACTTTACGCGCAAAACTTAGCTTTTCACATTTGAGCCTGCATACAACTAGAAATGGCGGTGTTTGTCATTTTCAACAAAACGAAATAATACGCGGAAAATTTACACATAATGTATGAGGGCTACTGACGTTTCCACACTATTCTCATTTCATAAATGGCGACTAAAAGTTAAAGTACTTCATAAGGAAAGATTCTTTTTATCGGCAGCTTGCTCTTATTTTAAACACTGCCGGCGATACTGAGCTGTAAGTTGAGATAAGGAACAGAACACGAACTAACCAGAAAGTAACCAATCTCTAATGTTAGTTGCGTTGCAAATGATTGAGGAACTTTTTCCATCAATTCCTTTCCTCACGTTTGTGGTTTTCGCGGTGGTATCAAGATTACGGTCTAATGTGATGTGACGTTATGAATTCCGTTACATAGATTTCATACGTCACGTCCCAGAAAACGGCAAAATTTTTTCTTTTCCCTTGGCAAACGCCCACCGCAATTTGATAATCCTGTAGTCTTAATATTCTATAGAATTTCGATGATATCCTTCCATAAATGTAAAGACACCAACATCCTAGTCACTCCGCCGAAAAACTACTTAACTATCAAATCGACCTTAAATTGTAATAGCTCTCTGTAACTGCTGTTTCCGTCTTTCATGCATCGTATGTAGTGATGTCCAGTTTCTGGTTTCTACTGAACCGTCCACATCGTACCATGTTTTCTTTAACACAACAAGTTCCGGCCAACATGTGACCACCAAGCACGACTGTATGCTGTTGTGTGTGTGTGTGTGTGTATAGCAGGCATGTCAAACTCAACTTGTACAGAGGTCCACCTCAGCCCTATAAATAATAGTCCAGGGCCGCACTTCAAAATAGAAATATACATTAGATTTTGATACAAGGAAATTTAATTCTATTTATTATTTAGGAATAATTTCAATATAATTACCTAAAGTCACATATCTTACAGTTTTAAAAAGTAAGAAAATGCCATTTTTGACAAGTNAAATTGTAATACTGATTTTAATATCAATTAGCTCTAAAAGTTGAGGGGCCGCACTTTGTGGCTATGGGGGCCGCATGTTTGACACGGCTGGTGTATATTATTGCTTTTGGCATTTGTCACTGGATGTTCAAATTCAGAATTAAACGCGTAGTGGAATCGAAACTAAAATTCTTGATTCTTCAGGTAACAGCAGTCCATTAATATGATATTTGTTGTACTTTCTTGCTGTTGTCTGGCGTGTCACCATTGGCTGATGGCTGTCTGAACTTCAGGCATAACTATCAACTATGGTCTTAAGAAAAATGACGGCACCATACTGTCACGTGTATGGGGGTATGCGTGACGAAAATAACGGGTTCTAAATCGGTTGACTGCCATTTCGGTTACAAGTTCTCTTAATCACACTCGATTATAACGCTATTGATAATCTACAAATTTTCAGTTCACCGCTGTACACGCATAAGGATTATCCGTCTTCATTAGTCGCCTCCTGTCAACGGATCTCAACACAGAAACTAGCACTTCAAGTAACTATGAAGTCTTCTTGTTATCTCGCCTTCAGTCACTCTGTACTTCTCTGTCCTAAACTGTACTCAACTAATCTTCACTCACTAAGGACATGCACCATTCTCGTCCTTGTACTCTCAACTCAGCCCTCCTGGACTGCCTTCTCAGTTATTCTGGAACCTCTTACAATTCTTAGGCACGAACCCAACAGAAAACACGTGTCAGACTAGGAGTTCATTGGTCCGTTACCAGCACTGGGCGTGGCGCGGAATACATAGAGAAAACAGCCTCATCTACTGTTGCATGTTGGACCGTGTTTACCGAGCCGTTGCCTGGCAAAGCGTTGATCAAATCCGTTACAATATTTTAACTTCGATTCTACTACATCGTAACATTAAATTCAAATTCCATTGCCAAGTGCAGCGAATAACAGAATGCATCATCTTAATAAAAGCAAGTAGGTGTACATGATGACGGCCAGATATGTTGGCCAGAATGCGTCGTACAGCGTTACCAGCAGTAAATTGTTATTCTGTTCAACAAATATCATGTTTTTACTCAATCAGACGGCCTATCGCCAAAAAGCCTACCACAGGCTGATGACCTACAGCATTTCGAAAGCTCATAGTTTATTTCCCAGAGCGAAATTTCGTGTTTTATCAGTAGTTAAGATTCATATTGTGACCTGCGACACAATCTTCCACAGCTTGGTATGTTGTTACCAACATTTCGGAGAACATACTGCCTCCATCTTCAGACCCGAAATGCTGGCAACGATCTAGAAGACTACAGGCATTAATTTATTTATGGTTACTGATTTTAGTTTTTTCACGATGGTTCAATGCCGGTGTTTATCCTGTTCTTGTACAGTCGTATCATGTGGAGGGACGTGCTGCCTCAATTTTCAGTATCGGCCCTGAAGAAGGAAGCAGAATGTTCTTCCGAAATGTCGGAAAACAGATCATTTCCAAATGGTGCAAATGCCCAAAAGCAGAATCAACATCAGCAATACTGATTTATGGTTTTAACTTAAGGGTCAGTGTCTCATAATGGTGGTATAAATGAATAATGAACTGGAAAAAGGGCATGGAAGGCAAAGTGTTGCCAAATATTATTCCGGCATCTGCTTGGAGGGACTGAGAAAAGCCATGAAGAATCTCAGTCAAGATAGCCCGTGTTTTGGCCGCGTAAATAACCCAGAAAACCACAACAAATATTTTCCTAACGAACCAGTTTACTACTAATATTCTATCTACGACTCGGAGGTTTGCCAACAAACGGTTTCTTTCTTTCGCGCTTGCTACAAGTCCTATCCATTGCAACATCTTAAGGCGCGTCCACATTACTCGTGCTCGTGTGAGTCGCTATGCTCGCGAGTAATGTGGACGATATGACAAGTCACGAGGTAAGCAAATTGTTAATTTAAAAACTATAGCCAATAAATTAAAATACGACTACAGCCTATATACACTACGAGTAAATATACGGATCCTCACGCGCCGAAGCCTGGCGAGCAACTGAAGTAGTGTGCACGAAGATTTACGAGCACAAGTAAAAGCCAGACGAGTCTCCCGACGAGCACGAGTAATGTGGACGCGCCTTTAGGTTTAGTTATCCTAACAGCGTCAGGCGAAGAGTACAAATTATTAGAACCCCCTTAATTGGGTTTGGAGTTCTCACCGCGGCGACAGTGAAGAGCAAGTTGTTTGTGGGTCGTAAATTTTTTCGACGTATATGGCGTTACAGCCCAGAAGAACGTCCTCCGCTTGTCAAAACCTCCTCCTCATTCCTCCATTTAAAGAAAGATTTATCTATTATATATGCTGCAAGGCGCTGAATTGTAGGTTGACAGCGAACCGTGAACAGGCAAATATCAGAAAGAAAGACGCTGCGGCGCATTTTAAGGTTTATTGGGAGGAGCCGGAAAACACGAGAATTTCCGGCAAGGACAGGTGGCCTCCGGCATAAGAATCGAGCTCTAAACTTCCCTGACACGAAGCGGAAGTGACAAACACTCAATTGCAATGTTCTGTAATTTCTTTCTTACATAATCTTCTCACTTCTTTACTACCTTCTCTCTCAGGCCTTGTTCCCGTCACTTGCAATATCTGCCATTCTTTCAGAATAAAAGACCAAACACACAAATTAATCGGCCTACTAGGTCTATT